TCAAAGCATGGTCAATAGTCAAAGGAGTCTAGAGGGTGGCACATCTAATGAAGAGATGACTACCCTCAGGTTTGAGAAATCACTCGCTAAACCCCTGGCTTATCCACAGTGTATCTAAGTGGAATCAACTAAGTAAAGTTAAATGACATAGGCATCTTCCCCTGTTGTGATGTCTTGCACTGACTTGTGTGACTCTTGACTGACTTGAGATCAAATTAAAGGAAGAAAAAAAAAAATAAATGAAAGGAAAGAAAAGACCAGGCAGACAATCCAGTAGTGGAATACGGTTATTGGAGATTTTTACCACTAGGATCAATAGCACTCAACTGGCCAAAATTGTGAGTAACCCGGCCTGAATTGGGTGGGTACCCTGATTTGAGTGAGAGGGTGGACTGGAGACTTCCCAAGGTCTGTTCTTAGCTGAGTGATATCCTGAATCTAGGACAAAATCTCTTCCAAACAGACCTGCTGATCAGTGACTGAAAAGAGATCCAGGCTGGGTTTCTGGGCTTGTTTCAGCATGACACTCAGAAAGAGGTGGATCATCTTCCATGTTCTCCCCGTGTCTCTGTGATTATGGCAAAATGAACCTGGACCTTTAATGTGGGATGCCTGCTGGCTGGCATGGTGTGACACTGCTTCTACCCTCTGAAGGAATACTACACTTTTCCTGATTGCAGGACACTGTAGAGGATCTGAAACAACCTCCAGGTGACCTAATACATCTGAAGAGTTCCTAGGCATCTTTAGCTGAAGAAGGCTAAAATTTTCTAGGTCTTTAATCTCAATGTACCAGTGCTACTTGACATACTCAGATTAAACTTCTGGTTTTATCTTTGGAAAGGTGTAATTGTTGGCCTTTCTCTTCTGTCCCTTTAACTCCTTTTGCATCTTGGATCTTGAATGTGTGATGCATCCTTTGGTGGGAAAAGATGGAAACACGGGCAGGCAGGACCAGAAAGGACTTACTGTACAGACACTAGGGTCCTTATTGTGTCTTGTGCGTTTACCCCAGTAGGCAGCCAACCACCACACAGCCAGTCACTCACTTCCCCCCAAGTGGGTGAGGAAAGAGGAATGGAAAAGTACAAGCAGAAAACTCATGGGTCAAGATAAACTAAGTTTAATAAGCAAAGGAAAAGTGGAAAAAGAGAGCAAGCAAGAAAAGAAAATAAACAAGCAATGCAAAGGCAGTAAGTCAACACCTCTCACAGCTGGCTAACCTTCCTGAAACACTCTCCACTCTGGTTTATTGCTGAGCCTGATATTATATGGCATGCAATACCTTTTTGGATAGGTGGGGTCATCTGCCTGGTTTTGTCCCCTCCCAATCTCTTGTGCACCCCCCTGGGGAGGTGCAGCACGAGAAAGAGGGAAGGCATTGATATTGTGCAAACACTGCTCAGCATTAGCTAAAACACTGGTTTGTTATCACCATTGTTTTGATCACAAATCTAAAACCCTGCAGCATATGAGCTGCTATGAAGAAAACTAACTCCCTCCCAGCCAGACCCAGAACATTGTCACTCTATGAATTTTGGAAGAAGGGACAGGCAACTCGAGAGGACTACAAGGATGAAGTGAGATCATGCAGGGAAAAAAATAGAAGGACTAAAGCCCAACTACAACTTAAATTGGCTAATTATGTGAAAAAGATATTTCTATAAATATATTCACAACAAAAAGTGGGCCAAGGATAACCTCCATCCTTTACTGGATGCAGGGGAACCATAGTGACAAAGGATGAGGATAAGGCTGAGAATTTTAATAACTTTCATCCTGGTTTAGGCCCAGTGCATAACTAAGCACCACGATGCCCCAAAAAGGGCTAGTCAAAATAATGACTTGGAGGGCTTCTCACCACTTAAACAGGTCACAGGCAAAAGACAGACTCATCATAAGGAATAAAAAAACCAGAACAATTTTAATGTGTTACCAACATCAGAGTTAAACAATGGGAGATAAACCAGATCTTAAAATCAAAACACCTTCCCTCTACCCCTCCCCTCTTCCTGGGCTCAGCTTCTGTTCCTGGTTTCTTCACCTCCCACCCCACTGTTTGCCTTGAGATGCGGGGGTCTGGGAGTGAGGGTTGCAGTCGGTTTCATGCCTTGTGCTCCTCAGGAGTAGGAGGACTCCGCCCAGTCTCTCTCTCTCTCTGCTGCCACATGGCCCCCTTTCCATAGGGGAAGAAGTCCTCAAAAGTCCAATATGGGTCTGCCCATGGTCACAGTTTCCCTCACACACAAACTGCTCCAGCACACACTGCCTGAAGTCACAGCTTCTTCAGGGGTAGCCACTGCTCATGTGGCCCTGCCCCACCGGTGAACTCTATGGGCTGCAGAACACTTGACTCAGCTCTTGCCACAGATAGCAAAAGGGAAGCCGGGGTTCTGCGTCCTCCTCCTCCTCCCTC